TCGATGAAGAACAACCGGACAACTTTGCCACAATCTTGCTAACACTTTCTTGAGATTCAAATTCTAACTCCATCAACAAGAAAAGCTAACGTTGGGAAGATTAAACTACTCAGATCTTTCAACCCCAATAAAGAGCAAAGTTCCTCCAGTTCTTCAACACTTTAAGATCTTCATCAACAAATCTTTTGTGACGAAGCTAGTTGGAGAAAAACTCTGTTTTTCTAAACATCTTCTGCAAAGAAGGGCGTCCAAGTAACTGCAGTAGTGAAGTGGTGATACTTCCGGGAAGCTGAGTGAAAGGACCAGTCATCAGGAAGCAGGACTGCATCCCGGGTGACAACTAGGCTTGAAGAAGACGTGGAGAACTTCTTAAGTTCTAGGGACTAAGGCATTGTAACTGTCGCTTTACAATCTTAGTGGAACAGTGGACTAGAGGAACGCGTTGTTCCTTGAACCACTATAAAAATCCCTGGTGTCACTTACTTTACTGCATTTAATTTCTGCACTTAGGATTCTAACTGTATAATTCTTGATAACTTGGAATTTGTGTTCAGCAGATCTCGTGTTAAGAATTATCAGAAACGCATTTGCCTTAGTGTCTTTCTTGAGGCTACCCATACAGAACCTTATCCGCTGCCAAAGCCAGTTCTGCCATCAGAACTCGACCCTCTCTGTCACCAGAATCAGACCAACTCTCATAAGTCAGTTTGGACTTAGAGAAAATTTGGAAAATCCAAACAGTCTATTCACCCCCCCTCTAGACTGTTTCCAACTTAAACGGGACCAACAAGTGGTATCAGAGCCTCCTTGTTCTTGTAATCTCTTAGGTTACCCTTTGAACAAAGATCCACTTGTTTCCAGCCTCTTTAATTATTATTATGGATAACTCTCTTGCAAAGCACCTTATGTTCACAGATCAGAAGTATCATGATTGGAAGATCCGAATGAAGGCACATCTTTGTGCTCTTCATGATGAGATGTGGGAAGTTCTGGAAAATGGCCCCTCCATCCAGTTCATGAAGGTCAACCCTGCACACTCTACAGATAACTCTCAGCCCCAGATGATTGAAAAAGCAAGATCTGAATGGACAAAGGAGGAGAAAAGACAATACAACCTTGACAACATAGCCAAGGACATCCTCTACAAGGCTATTGATGAAAGATATTTCAATAGAATAAAGAAGTGCAAGACTGCAAAGGAAATCTGGGACAAGCTTGATGAAATTGGTGCTGGAGATGAACAAGAGAGAGACAATAAACTGACCATAGCCATGAAGAAGTTTGATGATTTCAAACTCCTCCCAGAAGAATGCATTGCCAAGATGCATGAGAGACTGCTGATTCTCATCAGTGAGATTTCTGAGCTTGGCAAGGAGCTCACAATCAAAGAGGTCAACATGAAGATTCTGAGAGGACTGCCCCCAACATGGAAGATGAAGGTGATTGCAGTCCAAGAAAGCAAGAACATCAAGACCTACCCTACAGAAAGATTGATCTCAGATCTCAAAGCCTATGAGTTTGAGATGTTTGAAGAAAAGAAAGAAGTGCCAGATGAGAGAACCACAACTGCACTCACAGCCAGCACTTCTAAGGTAAATAACTTTGACCCCTCTACTCTATTATCTGACGAGTATATGGCTGCTTTTGCTAGGAAATTTAGGAAATTCATGAAGAAAGATGGAAGGAGTCCATCTTCTAGCAGAAGACCTCCTCAGAAGACCAAGTCCTCTGAAAGCAATGGAGAGTACCTCTGCTACAACTGCAGACAGCCAGGCCACTTCAAGGCCAACTGCCCCTTTCCAAGAGTGTCCAAGAAGCAAGGACAAGAAGGAGAGAAGAAACAAGAAGACCAACACAGAAGACGGAAGGTATTCGTCTCTGAGCAAGCTGAGAGAGATCCCCTCTCTGAATCAGAGTCCAGTTCTGAGTCTGACTCTGATGAGGCATTCTGCTGCCTAGATACAGAGACCGAGGACCTCTGCCTCATGACACAATCTGATGATGAGGTATGCTCTACAGCTGATTCTATTTCTTCTTCGGTAGGCACAGCCTTAAATGATGATCCAATGACATCATTTTGGGAAGAGTTCAAAACTATCCAAGCCACTTATTCTTCTATTAAAGAGGAGAACAGTAAGCTAAAGTTTGAAATCTTTGACTTGAGAAAAGAGACTGAGTGCAAACTTAATCTCTTAATTAAGGAAAGAGACAAACTGGAAGCTGAAAATGAGTCTCTTTTAAAAAGAATAAGGGAAATTGAGAATCTTGAAATCAGATATGATAGTCTTTTGAAGATGCAATCTTCAATAAAGAGTATTGATGATGTTCATAATCTCACCTCTGGTCTTGGATATGTTGAACCAAAGTCTGGTGAGCCTTCTGTAAGGCCTAGCACCCAAGTTGCTAAATCAAAAAAGGTCATAGTGCCACAGACTTGTAGCCCCATCTGTCATGCTAGTACTTGTGGTACTAAAGTCATTCATGAGAAAGTCCCACCAGAAAACCAAAAGCTAAAGGCCAAACCAAAACAAATTTTGAAAACTAATGAATCAGGCAGAAGACCTAACCACAGGAAAAGTTTTCAGAACAATAATAATCAAAGGGAAAAATTTGTCAGACATCCTCATGATAACTGTATCAGAGATCACTATCAGAAAGGCAGATATCAAGAGAAAGTTAACTATAGGCAGAAGAGGTTGTCTGGTCAACCTCAGAAGCCCAAGATTAATCGTTCCTCTACTCTTGATGATATATGGGACTTCTTTCCAACCAAGAAGGCTATGCAGAAATATGTAAACAGAAAGCATGATCCTCACAAGCATCTGCCCACTGTGAATCATACAGCTGTTTACTATGACTACCAGGTGGATAATGGGTACCAGCCACCAAGGTTTCCTTTGATGAGACCAAAGTGGTACCGAATGCCAAGACTCCATTACCCCTCAGGACCCAACATAGCTTGGGTACCTAAATCTTCCTTTTAATTTTGCAGGAATTGTGTGCTGGAGCTATCTCAGACCAAAAATGGTTTATTGATAGTGGATGCTCCAGGCACATGACAGGTGACAAGAGTTGCCTATCAGAGTTCCAAAGATTCAATGGACCTAGAGTTACATTTGGTGGAAATGACAAAGAAGGTCAAACAAAAGGAAGAGGGAAGCTGATCAAGAACCAGATAGTCATTGATGATGTCTCATATGTCAAAGGTCTGAAATTCAACCTGCTGAGTGCTAGCCAGTTCTGTCACAAAGACTACACAGTTGAATTCACAAAGACCCTATGCTATGTGAAGCATGAGACTACAAAGGAAGTGGTTCTTACAGCCAAGAGAAGAAAGAACATCTATGTTGTTGACTGGCAAACAACAAGAGATGGTACATGCCTGATAGCTAAAGACAATTCAAAGCTAAGTTGGGACTGGCACAAGAAGCTTAACCACCTGAATTTCAAAACAATCAACAAACTGGCAAGGGAACACATTGTAGATGGTATGCCAGACATTGTATACAAAAAGGAGACCCTCTGCAGTGCTTGTCAGAAGGGCAAACAAGTGAAGACCTCATTCAAGCCCATTGCTGGAGATCTTTCCACTAGTCCTTTAAATCTGATTCACATGGATCTATTTGGACCAGTTGAAACCCCCAGTGTTGGAGGAAAAAGATATACATTAGTCATGGTGGATGACTACTCAAGATACACATGGACTGTATTCTTAGCAAAGAAAAATGAAACTCTTCAGAAGTTGCCATCTCTGTTAAAGCAACTTCAGACTGAGAAGAATTTGAAGGTCAGGACAATCAGATCTGACAGAGGAACTGAGTTTGTCAACAAAGTGATCAAGGACTTCTGTGATCAGAATGGCACTTTTCATCAACTCTTTGCTGCCAGAACACCTCAACAAAATGGTGTTGCAGAAAGAAGGAACAGAACACTGAAGGAAGCTGCAAGGACCATGATTTCTGAATCAGGATTACCCATCAGATACTGGGCTGAAGCAATCAACACTGCATGCTACACCCAGAACAGGAGTATGATCCACAAGAATCATCAGAAGACCCCCTATGTGTGACACCGCACCCGAACGTCCTTGAAAATTCAAATTTAAAAAATTTGAATTTTATGTATTGAATTTCTGATTCCCAAACAATTGTGAAACGATTGTTGTTTTACGTAATTAATGATTTATTATTATACTGTTCGAACTCGTATATTAGTATCGGGCCTTATTAATAAATAAAAGAGCCTAGCATTTTCTAAATAGTGATACATAACGTTTCAAGACAAGTTGAGGAGGGGCGGGCGGCCCAGATATTATTTTGGGCTCAACCCGCTAAAATAGCAAGTATTCGAGAATGGCGTCGTAGGCCCACTCGGGGGCGACCCACACGGCTTGTAGCCCAATAATATGAATGACAAATGTCAAGATAAGTGATAGGATGATTAAAGAAGAGTACAAATGCCTATAACCCCATCTTTGGCATTATTGAGCCAAATAATGGGAGTAGGATTTTCCTTCTATATTATCCATCAAGTAAATTATTGAGATGAGCCTACACATATTGGGGATCAATAATGTTATGTAGGAAGTTGACTTGTTCTAAATAAATTAGGATGAGTACAAAAAGACATCTTTGACAAAAGATAAAACAATAGGACCCATTCTTCCATTTTTGGGTGTATTGATAGATATTTTGGATCCCAAATTAATTGGGATCAATGGGGAACCACCCCACATGATATTAGTACCTGCAAGACAAGGAAAATATGTGAGAAGACTCACCTTGGCCGCACCACATGGAGAAGCACTGCCCATGACACAATTGGAATCAAATTTTGGGGCCACCACCACTGTTTTCGCACAAACAGGTGTGCTGTTTTGTCTCCCTTCATTTTGAGAGTTGTACTCGTCCAAATGAGGTGTATAAGGTGTCCTTGGATAGCCTTTGAAGTCTATTTTCATAATTGAGTGGTCTCTGTTCGAGAGGAGAGAGTAGTCATCCAAAAATCGATCTGAAGCGAGCAGTGGTCTGTGAACTCGAGCTGTGAGAGTGCTGAGACTGTTTGGTTGATATCTCGAGTTTTACCAATCCAATTAAGGCGTGTGAGATACCAAAAGAAAGCTCTCAAGACGAGGAATCCGTGAAGGTCTGGTTTGCATCAATCGGAGTAGAGGAAGGCTTCCAAATCGTCCGAGCAGAACGCGACCTCGCAGGGACGGATTTACTCTTCTAAGTGAGTTTTTAATCCCAAAACCTTTCCATTCATTTTCCAAATGATATGAACGATTGGTGGGACTATTATACACTACTCCAAGTGTATAAAACATCCCTATTAAGTTATTTTATTGATGTAAAGGTTAGATACTAACCTAGATGCAAATATTGGAAAACTAGGAATCGAGTTAGCCGGAAAACACCCGTTCTAGGGGCTGTTTTCGTATCAACGATTAGGAGTTGAAATAGCAACTTGAGGAAGCTGTTTAACACCCATTTTCAAGCAAGGAACCAGCTCTCAATATTCCTTGGCCGAGGCTTTGGTCATTGTGATGGTCCTGGATAGGGTAAAAGTCTAGAGGGGGGGGGGGGGGGGTGAATAGACTTTTAAATCTTTTTCACCTTTTTCAAGTTTTACCTCTAGATGAATTGATCTATAATCTTTTGAGAGATTAATAGATGCACAGCGGAAGTCTTTACCCTTTTTCTAATGAGTGTGTGACAACTTTCTACCTTCAATGATGTTTGGACTTCAAACTGTGAGCAGTTGGCTTGGCAGTTAGCTAGATGGCAAGGAACTGCTGAGGCAACTGCCAGTTGAAAATAGAAGTTTGAGAAAGATGATAATATGGCCTTGCAGAGAATGATGAGGGCTTTCTGAATATATGTTGAGCTGAAGGTAGTAAAGAGTTTTGCCTGAGCAGTGGTCTGAGCAGTTGGGTAATCCCAGGAAACTGCTAAGCCGTCTGCTGCTTATAAAGAAGTATCTTTGAGGACTGACCAATCACACCTTTTTGTAGTGATATTTAAAGCTTGTGGGAAACAGAAGTCTCAAGGAAAAGTGAGTTATTAAGCAGTAGGATAAGCAGTAGAGTCAATTAAGACGACTGCTTAGGATGCTGCTGGCAAACTACGATCCCTTTAGTGAGAAGTATTGGGTGTGTGCTGTGGTGAGTAAAGGAGAATCAACACACAATGTATCCTGGTTCAGAGGTGGTGTAATCCTCCTACATCCAGTCCCACCCTCTTTCAGATGGATTTCACTAAAGTATTCAGCCCAATACACTTAGTGCCAATCTAGCCTTTACAACACTTAGGCCTAGATTGAAGGTTTTTCACAATGAGTATAACACCACTCAAAGTTACTCAGTCCTTAGACTTTTCTCAATCGATCCAGTGGGGATCAAAAGGTACTCTATCTATCTACCCACACTTTAGGATCCGAACAACTGTTCTCCTAAGTGTTTACAACCACTTGTGTAATGTTTACAAGAAAGTTCTAACCTCCAACTATGAACTAAGCTCTAAAAATGTGAAAGTGTTGATCTAATCTAAGAGCTTAGTGAAGCATGAGGCTAAGCAGAGAGTAAAGTTGAGTTTGCACTTTCTCTTTTGCTAGATAGCTCGTAAATGCTTTGATGAAAGTATTTCTCTACTTAGGATGCTCAAGCTTATTTTTGAACTCATGCTTCTACCTATATTTATAGGCCTTCATGGTTGATTGATCTCATCCGTTGGTTGAGATGGATTAATCTTGTGCGTTGAGGTTCTGGCTGGGACGAATTGTACATTCGTCTTCTTGTGCAGGAGCTTTTAATCCTTTTGTTTTCTGTCTTGAATAATTGGGCCGCGGCATGGGTTTGTCTTCAGCCGCTGCAGCTTCACTCCAAAAGGACGTCCCATGCTGTAGGACCATGTACCTGTTTAAGTTTTTAATGCTGGTCAAGTTTTGTCTTCCAATCATACAACTTTGATGTATATGATTTTTCGAGCATCTTTAAAATGTGACATTTATTTAATCTTTGAGTCAAATGATATGTGCCGGTTGGATCTAAATATCCGTTTAAGGTAAAAAAAATACCTTATTGCATTTTTACTTTTTCCGGTACTATTTCATTGGTCTCAAAAATTGTACATTTATTTTGTCACATTTGAATAATTTGAGTGCTAATACCTGAATTTAATTTGGACACAATGTACGGGTGCAAAGTATAGTGGCATCATCAAAATCTTATCAAAATTGGGTACTAACAATTTCCCCCTTTTTGATGATGCCAAAACTATACAACACAAGAAACAAATGTTTTTATTGATTTTCATGGAGACAATCGTACATTGGTCTACAGTCTAAAGTACATTAGTTTTTAGTCACTTTCGGACTTGAGAACTAATCTATTCTTGTTTCTTCTTGGCAGCTTCTTCCTTGGCTTTGGCTTCTTCTTCCTTTCTTCTTCTTATTTCAGCTTCTTCTTTGTAGAGTTTGTTTTTCCTTCTTGTTGCAGCTGCTTTCTTTGCTGCTGCTGATCTGGAGGAGGAGGGACCTGCTTGAGTTGTCCTTTCCCCCTTTTTGGCATCATCAGCAGGGGTCTCACTTTCTTTGAAGAGTGCTTCTATTTCTGGGTCAGAGTCAGGATCTTCATCTTGTCTTCTGGATGGATTTAGACCATAAACTTCGATAGACAGTGCCTTGATGTGGTTGTTGATGTCAAAAAGATCTGTTTTGACTTCATCTTTGACTTCATTCTCCAATCTTTGAAGCTTGTCCTGTGTAGCTACTAGACTCTGACCTAGCTTCTGAAAGTCAGACCCTTGCTTCCAAAAGGTGTCCTGAGTAGCCTTTTGAAGAACTTGAAAGTTGTGAGCAACGTCTTTAGTGAGCTGTTCATAGGCTTTGGCATGAGCCTGCTGCTCTATAAGGAATTTTTGAGAGAGCTTGAACATGGCAGGGAACTCCTCATTCCTTAGTTTCAGGAGGTATTCTTCATGCTCCTTCACCATTTGGAAAGTCTGCTGAAGATGAGGAGGTAAGGTTGGGAGAGAAGGCAGCTGCTCAGAGGTACCTGCTGCAGTAGGCTGATCTTTTTGTTGCCTTTGAAGTTCTAGTATCTGTCTTTCGAGATCCTCATTTCGGGCTTTGAGTGCATCAAGCTCCTGCTTGATCTCTGTATTAAGAGCTGACTGCTGGGAGGTTCTTGTCTTGAGGAGAGCTCTTTGCTCAGCATTGAATACTTGTTGGATCATGGAGTCTTTTCGTATATGACTGTGGATTTCTCCAAATCTGATGTCCAACCTTTCCTCTAGCTGCTTTTTCATCTTGATCAGCCTTTTGTGTAGTCGGACTTCTGCGCGGCTAATGAATTGTGTGGTAGCCCTTCTTTCTTTGATGAAGACACCTGCAAGGGTAGTAGTGTCTTCTTCATTGTCTTCAGGTTCTAGGATGAATGTTGGAGAGTGTTGCTCTATGTTTTGAGTAGATGCCTGTGCATGTGAGCTAGTCTGCTGTTCGAGATCTGGCATTGGAGTAGACTCTTGTAATGGAATATTGTCCGGGTGCTGCTCAGTGGTCTGCTGTGCTTCTTCCTCCATTACTTTAGAGGTTTCTCCACCTCCTCTAGTTTCAAATCTAGATTTTTCTAGAACCATTTGAAGTTCTTTATCACTAGAAGAGGAAGAGGAGATGATTTGTTTACCTCTATTCTTTGAAGAGCCATGTGGCGCATGATTGTTGTCATCATCATCAGCTGGATCATCATCATTGGCATCTGTGGAGTGATCTTCTAGTGGTTTATCAGTCAGCTGTTTCTTCTTCGAGATATAGATCAGATGAATCTGGTGGAGATTTGTTGCCTTTGCTATATCTTCTGTGCCAAGCCAGGTTAGAGCAAAGTACTCTTCACTGATGAATTTTGATAGAGTACTGGCTTGGTGGAGGATTTTGGAGAGTTTCCATTCTCTCCAAGCTTTGACTCTACACCAGTCAGCTTCCAACCTCTCCAGTGGGGTTAGTGAGTGGTCTGTTGGCGAAGGTGGAGCCTCCTGTTCTTCTTCCTGAGTTGTTACCTCTTGACGATTTATTGACAGTGGAGTAGCGGAGATAGCAATACCTGAAGAGGAAGTAGCCTGCTGTTCTTCGCTCTGTTTGGAACCTCCACTTTCTTCATGAATAGTGGGTAGTAAAGAGGCAGCTTCATGAATTATTGGAAGAGGAGAGACATCTGCTTCCAATTCCAGTTGTAGATTTCGAGTTGGGGCAGAACAGGACTCCTTTTTGGATTTCTTTGACTCAACCTCTTGATTCTCAGATCGATGTCTTTTTAGTGATTGAGTTTTGATCTTTCTAAACTCCGTTTTGAGAGGCTCATCTGAGAGAAATGTGTCTTCTGCCTTAGGTAGTTCAGGAGCTCCTTGATTGGACTTGAGAGAGAGAAATTTTCTCCAGTTGGTTTCTTCTTTAATGTTGCTGCGAGCTCCCTTTCTTCTCAAGATTTCACCAATAAGAAAACCATACCCCAGCCAGGGCATGGTGTTGGTTGCTCTTTCATGATATTTCTTTACGTATGCCAACATGTTGGTGAAGACATATCTTGTCCAGTTGAAGGGTTTACCAGAGATTATTGCTGCCAAAGGAGTTGCTCTCTTCTTGTTTATTTCATCAAGTGCAGTATTCTTAGAGTCAATGCACTTGTAGAGTATGCTTAGCAGAAGAGCATACTCATGCACCATTTTGTTGGTCTTGAGATTGAGGGTTTGTGTGTTCTGCGCACTGGGTATCAGGACCATTTCCTTGAACTCTTGTTCATTGAGATCGAAGTCTTCAATCAATGGGGCTTCATCTCCAGGTAGTGAGAGCAGTAGTCTGATGTCTCCTTCTTCAATTTCTACTGGTCGGCCCTTTATCCAGGATTTGAGAGTGCCTAAGGTGGAGTTGAGATAGAACTCTGCAGCCACTTCTGGGTAGAAGTATGGATAAGGGTAGGTTGCCATTTTGAGAAGACCTGTGGAGTCAAGTTTCCTTAGTAGCTCAGCCATCAGATCACTGTTATTGGCTTTCTTCATGATAATGGAGGTGTTAAGGATGGAGCCAGTGAAGACCTTTTTGGAGATGTATTGAAGAGATGCCATTCTTGTTTGGTTGATGAGTAGGGTGAAGTATTTGAGAAGGATAGGATGCAGGTTGAGAGCTTTTGAGGATTTTTAGAGAGAGGTTTGAGAGAGATTGCAAAGTAACAGTGTAAAGGG